TTTCTTGTGAAAGTTGTTCTTTTTTCTTTTTTGCTTTTTTTTTGATAAATTCCATGGATAATTAAATTTGTGTTTTATTTCAGTGGTGGAAAATCTAATTTTGATTCAGTTAAAAAGAAAAAAGGGAGACTCTGATTTTACCCAACATGCTAAAATGAAAAGTTTTGCATAAGAAACAAAACTTTTTAACAAAAATGTTTTTCCACAAAAAGCATTATCATAAAGCATTTATATTTTAAAATATCATGTTTTACTGAATGGTATATTTTTTTTGTTTTAACAGGCAAAGTATTCAGATTTTCTAGAGATTAAAGATAATGGAAAAGTTTCATTATTAAAATAGCTACAGATTACATCAGACAACAGTTGTAAATTATATAAACCCACTGTACTAGCTATACACAGTTAGCATTTGTCATACATTATGTCACAGTGTTATGTGAGATATTACTATTTTTCAGTGTGCTTAGAATAGAAAACACCTGCAGTGTGTCAAGTTCCACTGTGTATTAACTGTCAGCAAATGATGATTTTTTAAGGCAGTTCCTGGTAAAGACCAATGAAAAGAAATCAGTTAAATCTCTTCCTGTCTTGTCATCCAGTGAAAAAGATGGGACTATATTGCTACTCTCAACACATTAGATAAATCATTATCCACCCACCACATGCTGTTGTACAGGGGTTTGCTAACCTAAGAGTGCTTTCATGTGTAATCCATACAGATTTGTGTAATAATGTATTTACCTTATATGGGTGATGTTCAACTTACATATCAAAGTGATTTTCAACTTATTTACATATGACCTATATGAGAGAGATACTTATCTCTCATATGTATCTCATACTTATCTCTCATATGTAACTCATAAGTATACTCATAAGATACACTTATCTCTCAGTAAGCTGAAAATCACATTGATATGTAAGTTGAACATCACCCGTATCAGGTAAATACATTATTACACAAATCTCTCTCTCTCTCTCTCTCTCTCTCTCTCTCTCTCTCTCTAAATATATATGTGTGTATATATATATATTCATTCAACTTATTTGTATATTGATGTCTATGTAAGTTATTTATATATATATGAGACCATAGTAAGATTTTTTTTTTAATGTTTGGGGGGGTGTAAAATACACACACCAGCAAGATATTCATAATACTAATCATCTTACACATGAAAGCACTCTTAAGTTTCATTTAACTTACTGACATATATACAGCAGCATAGTAAGATTTTCTTCCCTCCATTTTACATGCATATGATCTTGGCAGATCAGGTCTGCTAACAAAGTTCTAATGCAAACTGACATATACTTGCAGCTACTGCATTCCTGGCATGTTTCCATTGTTGGCAGTTTAACACTGTCATTTTTGGCCCACATACAAAAAGATAGGACATAATTATAATCCCAGCACTTAGCATTTTTTCACTGCAACTTTCAAGTGTAATTAATCCTCAGAATACTCTGAGTTTATTATGAGGACTTCCTGTGAGGCAGGAAAGCAGAATTCATCTCACCTTCTTTGTAGGTAGGGAAACTGAGGCAAAGAAAATTAAAATTTCCAAACACGATGCAGAGACACCCAAAAAAGAAACAAATAGGGATGGGATCAGCCTCTTACCTGCTGACTCCTAGTCTAAACGATCAATGGCTGTGTATATTAAGATGATCTTAATTATCCTTATAGATACAGCCAAGATTAATTTTTCAAAACTAAGTAATGAATAAGAAACTTGAATGAAATGTTGCTTCAGAATCAGATTCTGAAACTAATCCGGAACCAGTGCTGCATGCTGCTGCACACTGACAACATGAAGGAGTATGTATGGCTTGATTTATTCGGTGGTTTGACATGAATTTGTCATCTGTACCATGTAGCTGATTAGTTCCCATCATTACACTGGGGCAACAACTTGGGAGTCTGTATTATATAGAGGGCAAAAATATGAATCGGGAACATCTCAATATAATTTGCCTTCAACCCTTGATTAACTATGTGACCTTGAACAAGACTTATTTTTCCTTGGATCTTTGCTTCTGAGTGAATATCAAGTCGTGTGTATACCATATTGGTCACTAAGTCCCATCTTCTGTACATTGTTAGTACATTTCTGCCTGGCATAAATAAGTGACTGGTGGACCATGTACCAACTTTGATTATTATAAAAAAACATACGCCTGAAGTTTCTGGCAGGCCAAGCAGTGAGGGAGGAGAAGTGCTACCTACCCACAAGTTGTCTTCTTGGCAAACGGTAGCCTAGCACAGGAAGAAGGGAATTGCTGCCTTCTTCCTGGCAGTATTGCTGAGCAGTACTACCAAAAATAAGCACAAGGTACAACCAGCTCAACTAGCAGTGCAGCAACCTGATGTGAATAGAAAACAGTTCTGCCTTATGTGCATCTCCAGACACCAACAATGTGCTTGAATGGTACAAGACATACAAAAGTAGTCAGTCCCTGCCCAGGAGATAAACATACGAGAGCCACTAGAAAGTCCAGAGGGTTAAATGATCAGGATTTTTTTATTCTTTGCTCAACTGTTGATTCTTTCTGTGGGCATCAGGACAGAAATGAGTCTTTAGGAGGTATTTGGAAGAAAAGAATATGGATGACTGGTTTGACAGATCAGAATAGGGAATTTAGTCCGTGCGCACAGTGTAAAAAGAAAAAAGGCATTGGGACAGTAGTACTGGAAATGGAAAAGGCTATTTAGCTGCTCTTGTTGGAGTTTGGTAATGACACCACTGAAGTCTAGGTTGAAAGTGTAGAAGTTTTCTGCCCTCTAGCTAAATGATTTCACTTCTCTGAGGAAAGCATAGTGCAGATATCTCTCTCTAAGCCTTGTTACGCTTATCTTTGGAACTCTTCTCCCAAAGCATTTTAAAGCCACCTGGAATCTTTGCAAGTAGCTGCCTTTTAGCTCCCTCATTGTTTCCAGAGTAGAAATGTACCATTGACTGTTTGTCTAGGTTTGGGGGTACAGGGCAAAAAAGTATCCATTGGGATTTTTTCAATGTTGCTTTCTGTTCATGAATCTTACCTGTTCTAGAATTCAGATGTGCTATGAAGCCTGCTCCTTTTTCCCTTCTCCTCCCTCCATTTTCCCAATCTCCAGTTACACCTGTACACCCTTCTTAATTGATTAACATTCTTCAGCAAGATCTTAGTGCTTTACTTTATTTCCTTCTGTAGCTGGCATGGGCAAAATACAGTCTGTGGGCTGGATTCGGCCTGCCAGCTGATTGAACCTGAGCCGCAGGGGGTCACCCACCAATTCATTGCATCTGGCCCCACCAGCAGCTGCCCCTGCTGCTTTCTGAATGGAGCTGGTCCTGCCCACCCCTGCTTTATAGTATGTTTTCCTTTCTCTTACTGGAGCAATGGCTGTTTAGTCTCCCTGGCTCCTAAGCAGACAATAGTAATTACTTCTTCAGTCTAGATTTTCCAAGGAGCCTAAGTAAATTTGGCACTTCTATATAATTTCAGTTTAAGCTTCTTCTAAAAATCCCAGCCTCATTCTCCAGGCACCAGTGTTGCATATTATTGCCCAATTTGCAACAGAATTCCCCTACAATTATTGATTATAATATTGGAGAATAAAGTATTATAACGGTAATGTATACTTGAACACAGGACTCTCCCAGTTAATTATAGGTGGTCCTGTCCTGGGGAGTGTAACAATCTGACTTAGACATACAGTAACTTGTCAAGGGTTTGCTGAAAACAAGCAGCTGAGGAGAAAGTAAAGAATGACAAGGATTTCTGCTCTTATGTTCATACAGGCATTTTGATAGTTGTATGTATAAATAGTTACGTATATATAGTTTTATATAAGTCAAATACTAGGGGGAAATGTCGAGAATAAATGCCACAGAGAAGGTCAGAATTGTGAAGATAATCAAGAGAAATGAAATTTGCTGTTGAACTGAAAAAGACCAAGGATGGTTTTGTAGAAGGGTGAAAATCCACGCCCAACAGACTGTAATAAAATGTTTCAGAATTCCATAAGCCCAAGTAACATTACATTGGCTTTAGTGCAAGGCCTGAAATCAGCTGAAAATGAGCTGAACTGATGAAATGCTAAACATATTCATGTCAGCCTTCAGATTATTTTTTGCATTGGAGCTATTTTTCCCATGGGATGAACAGAATATTTGCTCTGCAAGAGGCGATGGTTATCTATCTTTTATTTATGAAAAAGTTCTTGCTGACACTGTAGTGCCTGCTTTCCAGTTAAAGGTTAGTGAGTTTTCACAATCAGATTTTTACCCTTCACAGATGAGATAATCTGTGTTTTTTCCTGTTATTCTTGTCTTTGGTTTATTCAGGTGTTTTACAAACAGATCCATGATTTGGACCCAGATTTATTTTTCAGCTGATTGGGGGGAAAATTAAACATTCATTTTAAAATTCTCCCATTTGGAAAAGCTGTTTTTAAGTCAGTGGAAACAGTGACCACTATAATACATACCACCAGGAAAAGATTACTATCAGCATGGTTTGGGCTACATATTGACATATTCTGAATCACTGCTAATAAGTTCTTTAATTTACCTGTCAGCAGTAGTTCCACAAAAAAATATACATGGCTTGACAGTGAATAGTAGTTACTCTTCATTTTCTTTGTCACCAAGTGCTTTTTTTGGTATATATTTGTTTTATATATGGAGTATATTTTTTCATTATTTTTTCAAAACATGTATAATACCTTTTTGAGAAAAAAGTATTAAAAAATTGGACTCAGTAATTACCCTTTAAGGGGACCGTGTATGTGTACACATGCATGTGTGTGTTTTCAAAATGGATTTGATGTTATTAAGATTTACATTAAATGTGTTTAGGAGTTCTTACAGCTCTTCTTGAATACTTCATGCACAGAGGCCACATGGACTATCCTCTCTTCTTGCAATATTCTTATTCTTGAAAAAGGACTCTAGGTGAGACCGAATATCAGAATGCTTAGTTTTTTCACATTGTGTTTGTACTGTTCACAGCATGCCATGCCATTTTGGAGGATCTCAAGCCACTCTGACCTTATGGCCCTTCATCATGCCTTGGAACTGGAGTATTTGTAGCAGCTTAGCAGCACTTTGAAACCCCAGAATCTCCCTTATGCCCATGGACAGTATGCCTGTGTCTTGTGTCAGCATTGGACTACAGAACTTTGTGATTTCGACATGTTGATGTACAGCTGAAATTGGTCTTAACCTTTGCCCTTTCAATAAATGGAGGAGCATGTCTTTTTCTTCAGAACAGCTGTTGACTCTAGTACTATGAATCCAATGAAAACAAGCCATGCGAATGTTTTAACAACGTCTTTACCACGTTTGCTACAAAAAAAGGTTCATACCTGTGAAGAAAGAAAGGACCTGCAGATACTTTGTAGTTTTTAGACTTTTCAATGTGACACACACAGCGTCTTCAACACAGCAAACTTGATTGCACAATGAAGACTGAGTTTTGCAAAATACCAGTGGAGTAATTTTCTTGTAAAGAAGGTTTACTTTTTTGGTTTCTCCTACCCAGGGTACTCTGTACATCTTATTTATGAACGGACTGTGTTTTGACATCATATAACTGAGGATATGTATGAAAGGATTAAAGGCTATTGTAAGCCTTTGCCTTGTAATACAGCAAGTACTTTTGATTTTAGCACATTGCAAAGTAGTTTAAAGTATGTCTAATTTAAACAAATAGGTACATCACTGAGACAATCATGTACAGGAAGATTTTTTTTGTGTAAATTTGTAATAATGGATGATTCTTTTACATATTGTTTAGGTAAATGCTATTGAAAGGTAGTAATGCCTTGTTGGTGAGGTATGAGGCAATGTGTGCACAAACTCTTGTGCTGTGCCTTATCAAAATGTTGGGTATAAATATGTAGATAATGGATTTTTTAGATAAATTTGTCAAGACCAAAAGCATGGATGTCAAGTGTCAATAAGGAATTCGTTGTTGTTCTTTTTCAGCTATTTTCTCCATTTTCCCCTTAGCTATTCTGACTACGAAAACATTGGTTACCACATCCCACGCGTTAAATGCGCACACATAGCTACACCATTTAATTGAAGAGGAGTCCCTTGCTGTCTTTTGTTTTCTATTTTAATGTTCATGTATTAAACCTCTTTAAAGAACTGAATCAACAAGTTCATCCCATAAAAAGAATGTGGAGAATAGAGAATATATTATAAAACAGTACTTAAAAATCTAAAAATCAGATTTTGATTAAAAAATGATACCAGCTAACTTTATTTTTCTTAAGTTAGAAAAGAGGATATTTTGGAGAAACTGAGCAAAATATAGTTGTTATCCCAGTTTACACACTTCACTTTTTTAATCCTCCTCTACCAGGACTCATATTTTCCTAACAGATAACATCCATTGCCGGCAATGGACACACTAAACCAGTTATCGCCAGTGATTACGACTTGCTTGAGTTTCCATTCATGCCCATGAGGAACACTGTGTCTGTCTTTGAGTTAGAACTGTTCTAATAGGAATCATGAGGGCCATGAGCCATTTGGTCAGACAAACTGCAAATCTGACTTCTTGGCCTTAAATAAACCAATGTACCAGTTCACTTTCCCTGATTTTCATCCCTTCAGTAAAACGAAACCTCAGCTTTGTTGATTTCTTCTCTGGCTTTTACCCTTTTTTTCTATTTTCTTTTTTTTTTTTTTTTTTTTTTT